GATTATTCGACGATCGATGAATTTTGGACAATCGATTAAAGCTATCAATGGTCGATTAAGCAGTTTAATTTTGGGCTGCGTGCAGCTCGTGTGCAAAACACATGCGAGCGGCTGTGAGTGATGGTGACGGGGCTGGATATATATATATATAAATTCATTCCTACAACTTGTTAATTCATTTCTGTGACTTGTGACTTGTGTCCATGTTTCATTAATTTGTTCCCTAGAAAACCCATGATTTTACTAAAATGAGGGAACGAATTAGTCTCAGGCCTCGAAATCTTCATTCCCCCCACGTTTACCACAGTAAGAGATGCGAAAACAGTGATTAAAAGTGCTGGACAATAAAATAAACCTGCGAAATTAGAGGGTGAGACGGAGAGGATTTGGGAAAAGAAACAATAAAGGCCTATTATTAAATTTGTGGAAATTCGTGACCAACCGGCAAAACAGAACACAAAGCGACGTATGGCTTTAAATGTATCGAGCAGCGTGAATGCAAAAGCGATGTAACATTTGCCTGCTAACCCATTAGGCCTATTTCTCTCATAAACAAAGCTTTGTACCTCACTTGTGTCATAATACTCACATTAAAATGTTTAATGTGAGCAGCAGTGTGTTTTGCCGCAGCTCCGCGACACAGAAACATGCGCCGCAGTTACGTTTGGGATCATTTTATTTTAGATGCCAATAGTGTCAATTGCAAACATTTTATTTAGACTAAAACCCCTTTAATTCAGGTGTTTTGAGTGGCATTTGCTCATCATGCTGGTGAATATATGCCACTGCAATAGATGCATTTTGCAGTATTTAAACGCTGATCGATCATGGAAATAATCTAAAGTTGACATCCCTAGTTTAGAGTGAATGTAGATGGCGTCTCTCAGTTTAGAAAGAGCTGGATGTGGATGAATGGCCCGTCGTAAGGCTCTGTACATCTACTGTTCTCTGCGATTCCTTCTGCTGCGGATGAAACGGATTTGAACACTGATGCGTGTCTCTGGGGTCTCGTTTGTGTTTTCACTCAGAAACTTAGACTAATGAGGACACAGAAAATGCCAAATTCAGGAAAAACACTGAAATGGCCGACAGCATCATTAGACGGACTCAGTGTGAGTGTGTGTGTGTGAGTGTGAGTGTGTGTGTGTGTGTGTGTGTGTGTGCGAGTGAGTGTGTGTGTGTGTGTGTGTGTGTCTGAGTTCTGAGCTGCAGTCGACCGTCTCGGCAAAATAAACATTCATAAATCCAGATACATTTACTGGAGATGCAAATTGATAGAAACTGATCAAAATGAAATTATTTTATGATTGAAACAAGAAGAAATATCTGCCGATAGGCTGAAAAAAATCTACTTAATTCAAATGGAAAACTTGTTTTCTGAGCCCATTGGCAGATATTTGTTCTTGTTATAAACATAAACTCACTTCATCAATTTCTCCGAAAAACAAGACTCCTTATCTTCTGTCACTTTGCGTCTCCAGTAAATGTATCTTAATTTAAGAACCTTTAGACATTTGCACAAAAATATTGAGGAAGAACATGAGTTTCTGAAGACTCATCTCATCATCGCATTCATCTCCAGCAGTTTATTATTGCTCTAACTGTCTTTCTGTTGTTGTCATTGGTATATACATGGACATGTAGATGAAGCACAATGATTTACGTGACTTGATATCGAATGAAAGTTTCCACGCAGTTCATTCTGGGATTTCTCCATCAGATCGTCCCGTCGGCTCTGATCTTCATTTGCACTCTTTGACTAACTTAAAATTACATATCAAAAAAGGTTAGTCTCATTCGTAGTCTATTTCTATTCCGAGCTCATCTTCGGTGTGTCCTGCTGATTTTACACATCAAGCAGCTCACAGGGAATCACTTCTGAACTCATTCTGTAGCGTGAACAAATAATGAATATTTATTCGCAAACTTGCTTCTTAATCAGCATTATATACTTAGGACATAATTGCTTTTGTTCTTCTTTTCTAAGTCACTTTGGATAAAAGCATCTGCTAATTGCATCAATGTAACATCAAACGTTCATATGCAAGAAAATGCAAACTATTTAATTGGCCAACTATGAATTTATGAATGTAAATATAACTGACAAGCATGAAATGCAGCAGCAGCGGATATCAGAGTGAAATATATGGAAGCATATGGGTATCAAAATTCATTTTGAAATGTAATATGCAAAATGGCATATTTTTTATTTTGCACTATGTTGCACATATGTGTGGGAAAATGTAAATTTAAATACAGAAATACACTGCATATTGCATTGCAATTTTGCATATTACATTTCAAAATTATTAATAATGACTTGATCGGCATTGCTGGGATGCAATTCAGTTTCAAAGGGGTTCCGGGTTGTTGCTAGTGTGTTGTTAAGTAGTTGCTAAGTGTTCTTAGTAGTTTATAACATGCTGCTGTGTGGCTGCTTTATATGGAAGCATATGGGTATCAAAATTCATTTTGAAATGTAATATGCAAAATGGCATATTTTTTATTTTGCACTATGTTGCACATATGTGTGGGAAAATGTAAATTTAAATACAGAAATACGTTGCCGTTTTGCATATTACATTTCAAAATGAATTTTGATACCCATATGCTTCCATATAAATAAAGATCTTTCAGACATTTACAAGTCCATTTCAAACCATCAATAAATGCATGAACATCACAAGTGAAAGAAATAGATTAAAGCTATGACAAACAGTCAGTTATAATCAATCATTTCAGTATGGTGTTGTGTGGAATTAATCTCCTGTCTGCAGCGAGTGAAACACATGAACAAAGCCTGAAGCCGATCAGTTCCTCTAATAATCAGAGCTGAAACCACACAAAACCATTTCACAGCTCGTCTTTGTGCGTTAAGCTGATTTAATACTTTAATTGGATTTAAGATCACCAGACTCAGCTTTCATTCCGGCTCTGATCGTGTGATCGCTCTGAGAGTGAGAAGCTCGAGCGGTTATTGATCTGTGGCAGCGCTGCGTCTCTCTTCATCTCCACCTTGATTTTTGCTGTTCAATCGTTCAGAGAGCAGCACTTGTTGATCACTAAACGAGTCGACGCTTATAGTATTCCTCCTGAAAGTGCTTCAACACGTCAGTCGCTCTCGATAAGCGATAAACACTACACTGAGGCTGATATAAGATCTGGTATAAGAGTCGTTCTGTGTGTTCAGCGTATGTTTCTGAAGAGTTACTGTGATTATTTATGATAAAGCATAATCAGCGTTTGAGATCTAAACAAAGGTATGTGAGTTTTATCATCATCAAGCAATAATGAGGCAACGAAAAGCATTTCCAGAGCTGTAAGTCACAAAAATTGGTTTTAGATTTTATTTGGTTTTTAAATGAATTTGAGATCAGGATTTCTTACCATGCGGTGGATTTTCTCCTCCGTGTCCTGGTTTATTCTCTGTAGAGCTGTGTAGCTGCTCTGAATCCTGCAGGAGAGATGATGAAGATGATGATGAAGTCAAACACATGCTTGTGTCTTGTGTTTCTGAGCATCATTAATTTAGACTCACATTTAGCAAAATTAACAATGGCATTGAACTGAATTGACTCACGTTAAATAACAACATTGCTGCCTTTTGTAGAAATGCTTATAGCTGAATTTAACTAGTTTCAAATTGATGAACACTCTTAAAAATAAAGCTCCTTCACTGAATGAATGATTCCTTGAAAATTCATGGAGTTTTACCATTAGACATAAGGTTTCCAGTGGACTTTGTCATGTTAAAAGGATTTTTTAGATTATCAAAGAAAAAAGTGGTTCTTTTCAGAACTGTTCATTGGAAGGTTCTTTGGGAATTCACACTATATTTTGTTCGATCAGCTGGTTCATTGTCGGACCTCCGCAGTTTCTCTGTGAGTTTGTCGAGTTGGTCTTGAGCTCGTCGCAGCTCCGTCTCCAGATACTGACGCGTCGACTCGAACTCGCTCTGCAGCTGCTGCAGTTTGTGTGTGGTGCAGCCGAGACGTCTGCGCAGATCCTCCTTCTGCTCCTGCAGCCAACTACATAAACACAGGCAGATCATTTCATTTACTCCTCAACAACAGTGCTTCTCAACCACGGGCCCAAATAAGTCTCAGAATGATGTACATGCGGTTATATGAACATGATTCATTCATTAAAATGCATCACTCACTCCACGGCAAACACACTCTGTGATCAAAAGCACTAAACATGATTTATTCATGCGCTTATGGAATATCCAGAAGTCTGAGATACTAAAGAGTTTAATGATACTCAAAATTATAAAACGAAAGAGAATATTTATGAATGAGCTGCGTTCACTCAATCGGAGTTCTGTCCATTTATATCACATTCAACTGTGTGTGTGTGTGTGTGTGTGTGTGTGTGTGTGAGGAGTGTGTGGTCACATCACAGGAGAGTGAACTGCCTGTCAGAAATCATAGCACGTCAGCTGTCTTAACCGCGGCTTGTGT